TACTACTACTACTACTACTACTACTACTACTACTACTACTACTACTACTACTACTACTACTACTATACTACTACTACTACTACTAACACTGCGAGGAGTAGTGCTACGGCGAAGGCCGCACGACACAAGTCAACCACTGGACTCTTTCCCGGCTAGGATCTGCGCAGCGGGAGTTGGAGACCCTTAAGGTGATAGTGGGATTTTCGGAAATCCATGCTTCAAGCTTCCATACAAAAACTGAGCAAACTGGACTCTTTCCCGGCGGAGCGCCGGGGAAAAGTCCAGTTTGCCGGGAAAAAGCCCAGTTTGCCGGGAAAAAGTGGACAACCGTTCTGCGCTCGGGGGACATGTGAGAGCCGAGTTCGCCGGAACGCGAGTCCGCCGACGCAGAGGAGGAAAGGGTACCGATACTGTGAAGTCGGGCATGCCCCTCTGCAGGAGGAAGATCCCATGATAGCCAAGAGGGGGGTGTCCAAGAGGGGGGGTGCAAAATCATGGCCGGTGGCATGTGCGCGGCCCAAGGGGGGGCCAGGGACGTAATGAAATAAGAAGAGGCGCCATGAAGTCAGGAAAAATCATGACCCACGCCATGAAATTCACCCCCCCCTAGTCATCACCCCCCTCTTTGTCGCCCCCGATGACAGGGGCATCGCCCGAGGAGGCCGGGCCGTTCGTGGCCGAGACTGGGTCTCCGACGCCCTGACGTGCTTCAACGGATCGCGCGGGGCCACGAGACCCAAGAGCTCCCTAACCATCGCGCATCGAATGATTGATTTAAGTCGGGCGTGTCCCCCTACAGGGGGATCTTCGACGGAACAAAACATCAAAAAATAGTCCAAAACGGTCAAACTGCAAAAAATAGTTCCCAGATTTTTTGACCATTTTTGAATATTCCCCCTGTAGAGGGACAGACACGACTTAATGATATATTCGAGCATCACGTGACGATCGGTCTGAACTCCGTTTCTGGCAAGATACGTGCGCACACAATTTTAGCACAGGCGGGAGAGGAGACGGGCTGGCCAAAGCAACGCTTTCCCACCTCCGCAGAAATTTGCCTCAGAGGTCCCACAGAGGGCCGTGCTAGCAGCACGCATTTTGCACTGCACACGCGTCAAACTAGGACCAGGGAAAGAACCGTTGGATCAGACCCAAGAGCTCTCAGAACCCAGGGCGTGACCGTCAACCGCATCGGTGGGGACACCAAAAGGCGCCGGTACCGCTGCTCCCCGGACCTCTTCCAGGGTGCGTTCGGACCAGAATTTCGAGGCGAATCCAGCGGCGGCGACGAGGGCCCCCAGGGCCCGAGAAGCGGGAAACGAGGAAAGGGTAGCAGTATGGATGGGTCGGGCATGTCCCTCTACAGGCGGATTTGGGACGAAACGTTGAAAATACCCACAACATATTCAAAATGAAATAAAACATGCAACAGAAGTAACCGCATGCCGATGAGAATAAAGTACCCCCCCCCCCTTAAGTCGTTAGAGTTTTTCATCGTCGACCAATAAGAGTTTGGTCGGGGGCGCGGGGGCGCGGAGGCCGAACTTCATTATCACGGGAAAAGTTCGCCATCGAAGTTACTTCCTTCTTATGTTGAGATAACAACATCAAGCGAAGCGAACACGTTGTTTCAGGATGTCTCAAGCGAAACCAATGTCCTTCTGTCTCTTTGTAGTTCTTTCTGTCTCTCTTTCTTTCTTTCTCTGTCTCTCTTTCTCTCTCTCTCTCTGTCTCTCTATCTCTTTCTCCTTCCTGGCCTCTCTGTCTCTCTCTCTCTCTGTCTCTCTATCTCTTTCTCCTCCTCCTCCCCCTGGCGCCCTGAACTTGTTTATCGCTGGGGTTGATTATCCAGGGAAAACGAGGCACGTGAGCTACCCTACACGAGCACTTAAATGTTTTAATTTTCATAAAGCGCTTGTAAATAAAATTTAATACATTTGAATATTCAGGCTTTTTGTTTAATCCTCCTTTCCTCTTCTCTTTATCCTTTTCATTTATTATTATACTTTTCTTTTTAAATGTATCTTCTCTCTTTAAGTCCTTCCTTTCTTTTTCTTTATGATGTATCTCTCTTTCTCTCTCTCTCTCTCTTTCCCTCTCTCTCTCTCTCCATGCCCCCCCCCTCTGAACTTTTTTATCCCTGGGGTTGATTATCCATGGAAAATGAAGCACATGAGCTACCCTACACGAGCACTTCAAAATTTTAAGTTCCATAAAGCGCTTGTAAATAAAATCTAATACATTTGAACTTGAGATTTTTCCTTCTCTTTCTCCTCCTCCTCTGTTTTCTTTCATTTTAGTTTTTTTTTTCAATTATTCTTTTTCATTTCTTATTGTTTCTTTTTATTTTGTTTTTGTATATCGCTTTCTCCATTCCTCCGCCCGCCTGAACTTTATTATCGCCGCGGTTGATTATCCAGGGACACCGAAGCGGATGAGCTATTCCGAGGATGTCTCAAGCGAAACAAGCATATACTCGAGGATGTCTCAAGCGAAACAAGCATATACTGAAGGATGTCTCAAGCGAAACGATACGTTTCTTAAGCGAAATAAGCAATAGTTTGACGGTGTCTCAAGCGAAATAAGCAATAGTTTGTGGATGTCTCACGCGAAACAAGGGATTTGTCGAGGATGTCTCCAGCGAGATAAGCCATTGTTGAGGATATTTCTATGAAGACTAAAAGCCAAGGATGTCTCAAAACGTGCTCGGCTTGGTCTCCTCTTGATCATCTCTTACTTCGAGATTATGCTGAGGTCTGGTGGGCTACTTTGATTATCTCCCCCTGAACCCCGAACTTTATTATCCCCTAGTGTTTATTCTCGAAGGTATTCGGTTACCCGTACTATTTGTTGGCCGCCCCCGATGTCAGGGGCAGCGTCCTTCTCTTTCTCTTCCTTGCAACTCCCCCTCGTCGCACAACAGGACGTGTCAGCTGAATTTTGGACAGATGTAGAACGTTCCCATCCGTGTCTCTAATTTGTTTGTGGCCTGGGGTGATTTCCACCAGCTGCGCCTCGTCGAGAGCGTTCCGGGGCTGCAGGGATCGTCCCCAGCGGTTGCCATCGTCATGGGGGCTTTCGAGTTTGAGGAGGACAAATCGTCCAGAGACACGCTTTCGGTGCTCTGCCTGGATTTCTTGTATCGTCGGCCCAGCGTCGATCCAAGAGATCCGCGCAGATCTCCGACAGCTTACGTTTACTGCGTTTGTTCGTAATATTTAGCAGCTCGGGGCGTCCCTTTCGCTGCCGGATGGTTCCTCGTGGCGTTTTGCATAGCTCGTTTGGAGCGGACGCTGGCGAGGCTCGCGAGAGCATCCTCCGCACGTACGATGGCCAGTGGCAGGACGTTGCGGACGCCCAGCTCCGGGACGTGCTAGTGAAGGAGACGCCGGAGGAGCTGAAGAAGGACCGGTTCGGGTCTCAAGAGACGGGGGTCAGTGCAGACAGAGGTCAGCAAGAGCGCCCGATCCTGCAGGATCCTGCAGGGCCAGGGGCGCATTGACCCGCGTTTGGGTGCAGGATGGCGCAGGACCTTGCAGGATTTTTCGCACTGACCCGGCGTTGGGTGCAGGATCTTGCAGGACTTTTTGCAGGATCCTGACATGCTTGATTGGCCCCGGTTTGCATTTTTTCCCGGGTCCGAAAATCCCAGACCCGTCTTGTTCGGACCTTACGTCGACAAGTGGGGCTCGAGGGAGGAAGAGGTACCGATTGCATCTGCCTCTCCCCCGCCTCTTCGCCTGGTGCTGCCTGGGAGGCCCCTCGTCGCCACGGCCTCAGTCGCTCCGAGGTTCTGGTCTGGGATCCGTGGAGCAGCGGCGTCGGAGTCTTCTTGGCGAGCGAACAGCACACACCCATGCCCATAGGGGGAACGCTGGGAGGAGGACTCGCTATGGGCATAGGCGCGGGTTGTCGGGTGCTGGGGGGCGTTTCCTTTCGGGCGGGGACCCCCATCTGACAACACGCACCCATAGCCCCCCCCCGTCCCACCTGTGGGTATGGGTGCGTGTTGTTCGTTCATCATCTTCCGGTGTCACCACTGTTTGGTGTAGACGTTTTCCAGCTCGCAAGCCGGTCGTCCGCCCCTCTGCCAGGTCTCGCTGCCAGTGAAGAAATCCAGCGTCCGCCCTCCGCGTTCACGAGGTCCCTCGCTCTCGCGCTGCAGCTGCTCGCGTGGAGCTTTGACTGCTCAGGTTGAGCCCTGTCTCCTGCACGCTTTGGCTCGTGACTGGAGATCCTCGCAAAGCTCTTCGGTTGTTTCGTATCTGATGTTGTTCCCAAGCGCCCGCGGGGCCCTCGAACAAGAGCTGCCGCAGATCGCGTCGATTGCTTCTCACACGCGGTTCCCAGGGCTCGTTTCGATTTCTCCGATTCGATTCGACTTCAAACTCCGACTTGGATGCTTTCTCAATGAGGCCTGAATACTCTGCCGATTTCCGCAGATTCGACTTCTCCAGACTTGGCTGCCGATTTCCGCCGATCCGATTCATTTCTATCGCCGATTTGATTTATCGATTCGATTCTGGGCTCTCCTGGGTTTCTTACGGCAGTTTCACCTGTCCTTCTCGAAGGGCCAGCGTGCTACGCGCGTCTGTCGCCCACCCTTGCGCTGCCCTCGCGGGTGTTGGCAGTTGCTTGCCTGTGCCGCGGGCCCCAAGAATACACACCACCACCACGTCGATTCCTCCTCCCTCCTCCCTCGTCTTCCTCCCCTCTCTCCTTGGGGAGGGCATGGCTAGGGGAGGTGGTTTACCAGCCTGGAACATATCCCTATCCCTGTGCTGGGCATCTCCTCATCACGATGCCAATCTTAGGGATCGCCATCTTCTTTGAGGGCGAATCCCTCAGATTTTCATCGCCCTTTGGCGTGTCAATCTCAGGGATAGGGATACGTTCGAGGCTGGTAAGCGGTGGTGGTGTATACCTTTGGGCCCCGCAAATGTTCCCCCGCATCGACTCTTCCGCCCGCCGCACCGCTCCTGCATCCGCAGCTCGGGGGCATGATCTCCGTCCCGAAGCACATGCTGGAGGACCCGCCCGAGCAGGCGGGCGACCGCGAAGGACGCCCGCTTTCACATCGGGCGCGCTCTCCGCACCTGCTCGCACAGTGGGGGGCCATGCCAAGAAACACCCTGCTTGCCTCCAGGGTGCCCTCTGTCTCTTGGGTTTCGATGGTTTTCCAGTGGAAAGCGTGACGCTCCCATACCAGAAAATCCATGGACGTCCTGGGGTCTCAGGGTTGGGCTTCTTGTGGAAGGTTTCTTGTGGACTGGCCTCCACTGTACCGGCCACCGCGGCCGTGTCCCAGGGGAGAAGCTAGAGCGTCTCCATCTTCAGAGGAGGCAAAGGTACACGTCTTTCGTCGAAAGTAGGTGTTTTCGGATTCCCAGATCCCAGCCTACCTGTTTGCGCCTTTCTACTTCCAGACTCGATGTGCCTTCGCTGGGTGCTTTTATTCCCTGGGAGGGACTGAACCCGACCTACTTGATCCGCCTTCCTACTCCATATTTCTACCTACCCGACCGACCTGTACCGACATCATTGCTCGTCATGGGGAGAGCTCGTCGCGCTCCGAATTTCTCTTCAGAACGCACCCCAGGAGATGTCGGGGGAGCAGCGGTGTCAGTATCTTTTGATTTCCCGAATCCCAGCATCTGCGGGTTCTTTCGCCATCGGGCCGTCATCGGGACCGATTCAGGAGAAGGGGTGCTGACCTTCGGGGGGTGTTTTTCACAGTCACGGTGTCGAGGGTGCGGGCGGGATGGTGCCATTGAATCGTTTTGCTCTCTCCCCAATTCTCGTCCCCCCTGAGCTCTTCCTGGGGGGGGAAGCGTGGACGTGTTCGATCAAGACTCCGACGACCTGAAACTCCAGAGGCGGGAGTGCGGTGAGGTTTGGCAAGGCTGGGGCACGCAGAGGCGCGCCGGTCGGCCCAAGAGTAGTCGGGCAGAGGGTCAAGACCACGGGCGGTTCACACAGTCAACCGCTCCACGTCCACTGCACTTGCTTTAAGTCGGGCCTGTCCCCCTACAGGGGGATTTTGACCGAAAATATGACATATTCCAAAAATAGTCAAACATTTTTTTTTTTTTTTTTTTTGCATTTTTTGATATTTTTGGTGCATGTTTGGGGTACTTTTCATTGTTCACCGAAAATCCCCCTGTAGGGGGACACGCCCGACATAACATTTGCTGCGGTTGTTGGAAAGCCGTGTCAATTCGATACTCGTGCACCCGAAATTGGGTCAAATTCTGTGTGTGTGAGCAGCAGATGTTCGTTTGCGTCTTCTTGCCTCTTGGCGCTGATCACGATCTGATTGTTCTGTGGGGCTCCCGGTGCAGGCTATCTCAGGGTGGCCCCGACCCGACGCTGCGGATTGCGGCAACGTCGGACACGCATCCGGGTGCCCGCGGCAGATTCCGCCACCGTGCCACGACGAGGGGAGTGAAGGGGGCGGGGGGGGGCGGGTGCCTGCGACGGAGGGCGACGGGGTGGGCCTCAGGAGACGCACAGAGAGCCTCATTGCTTACACCATGTAGCTCACGGCCACTCTTGGGAGCGTCCCCGGTCCGCCGCGCTGCTGCCACTGCAGGGGTCAGCGAACGGCGGCGGGCCGCGCCAACTTGTTGTTCCGGGTGCCGTGCTCCGGGGGCAGCATGCTTGGAGCGCGAAGGAGCGATTCTCAAGATGGGACAAAAACACACATACACCACAAATCGCCGATTGCCCGGAAAAGATGGGAAACTATGGACAGCGGGGGGGAATACACAAACCAAGAACATCTGGAAATCACATTTGGAAACCTATGGGGAACAGTGGTATGTGTGTGTATCTCTTTGTGTGTCCTTGGGCCCCTTCAGACTCGTGCACTCGTCGCCGCCTCGGCGCGCAGCCTGTGAAGCGGGAGCGCCCAATCCTGAGCAGCACGCACGAGCAGGAAGCGACACACTTTCTCGTAGGCTCTGGCGAGGCCCAGCACTCCCAGCCCACTGGGCAGCCGCTCGAGGCCAGGGTGCTCGACAGAAAGATTATGCTCCCAGACGGCCCGCTCGCAAGACTTACCCTCGACCCGCAAGTTACAAACCAAGGAAATATGGAAAACTATTGGGATTATTGGTATTTGTGTGTTTCTTTGTGTGTCCTTGGGCCCCTTCAGACTCGTGCACCCGTCGCCGCCTCGGCGCGGGTTCCCGAGCGGCCGCCCTCCCCCGGGCGGGGCGGCGCGGGGGCGCGGCGGCGATCGCGCGTCGCGGCCTCGAGGCCTCGGGGCGCGCGTGGCTCCGCGGCGGGCCCCGGGCGCCCAACGGGATCGACGGCAGAGCAGCGGCCTCCATGGGATTCGGCAGTGAAGAAATGACACCAAAAAACACACACAACAAAAAAAACACGCACACAAAAAACACGCAACAAAACACACACAACACACACACACGCAAAACACACACACACACCAACACACATACACACACAAAAAAACATACAAACACACACACACACACACACACAAAGAGAGTGTGTGTGTGTGTGTGCGTGTGTGTGTGTGTGTGTGTGTGTGTGTGTGTGTGTGTGTGTGTGTGTGTTGTGTTGTGTGCTTGTTTCCCGTAAATAGTGCTGCATGTCGGCACTAGTTATCTCCTGTCTCACCCTGCTCGCTCGCCGTCCGGCGCAGGGCCGAGGCTCGTTCCGTCGCCCGAGGAGGCGGAGGCGGCACGGGCTGCATGCTCGGAGGGGTGCATTCCCCGAGCCGTGGGTGCCTCGTCCACGGTAGCGAGTGCCCAAGCGTTGCGAGAGGGCCGGCTCCTCCTCCTCCTCCTCCTCCTCCTCCTCCTCCTCCTCCTCCTCCCCTCCCCCATTCCCTCGCCCATTCTCCTCCTCCTCCTCCTCCTCCTCCCTCCTCCTTCTCCTCCTCCTCCTCCTCCTCCTCCTCCTCCTCCTCCTCCTCCTCCTCCTCCTCCTCCTCCTCCCCCATCCTCCCCATTCTCCTTCCCCATCCTCCTTCCCCATCCTCCTCCTCCTCCTCCTCCTCCTCCCCTCCTCCCCTCCTCCTCCTCCTCCTCCTCTCCTCCTCCTCCTCTCCTCCTCCTCCTCCTCCTCCTCCTCCTCCTCCTCCTCCTCCTCCTTCCCTCCTCCTCCTCCTCCTCCTCCTCCTCCTCCTCCTCCTCCTCCTCCTCCTCCTCCTCCTCCTCCTTCCCTCCCTCCTCCTCCTCTCCTCCTCCTCCTCCTCCTCTCCTCCTCCTCCTCCTCCTCCTCCTCCTCCTCCTCCTCCTCCTCCTCCCCCATTCTCATCCTTCTCTTCCCGGGCTTGGGCTTCGGGCTCGGGCGTTGGCCTCGACCCGGCCTGTGCTCGGGCCCGCACTCGGGCTCGGGCTCCCGCTCGGCTCGGGGGCAGGCTCGAGCCCGGGCCCGAGCCGAAGCTCGGGCTCAGGCTCGGGATCGTTACCAGCCTGGAACATATCCCTATCCCTACGCTGGGCACCTCCTCATCACGCTGCCAATCTTAGGGATTCCCTTATTTTTTGAGGGCGGATCCCTAAGATTGTCATCGTCTTTGGGCGTGTCAATCTTAGGGATGGGGATACGTTCGAGGCTGGTAAGATCGGACCCCAAAAAAGCGGAGATCGCGCGAGCTGTCGGCGCGCCCTGCCCTGGCAGCCGCCCCCCTGCCGTGTGTGCTGTCCGCGGCCCCAGCGGTCTGGACCGCCTCTCCAGGGGAACCAGGGCTCGAGCGAAACGGTGGTTTGGCGATTTCGTGGGTCGTCTTCATTTTGATGTCGTTTCGCAGCGACAGCAGAACGAAGGCAGCACGAAGGAACACGAAAACAAAACGAACACGACAAGCACTAGCCCTGAGGGGTACTGCTTCGTCCCAGGCCAGTGTTTGATGGTCCCGGGGCCTGCGAATGGTCCCCTGTGGCCAAAATTGAGGCAAGACGCCCGACGTCGGCGGCGTCGTCGTCGGTGTGGTGGTGGTGGTCGTCGTCGTCGCGTCGTCGTCGTCGTCGTCGTCGTCGTCGTCAACGTCGTCGTCGTCGTCGTCGTCGTCGTCGTCGTCGTCGTCGTCGTGGTCGTGGTCGTCGTCGGCGTCGCCACCGTCGTCGGCGGCGGCGTCGTCGTCGTCGCCGGAGATCTTCAGGAGGAGGAGAACCCACAAAAACAGAATGAATCGTCGATCCCCCGGAAGATCTGGGAACATGTGGGCAGTAGGGGGGGGAAGACGACGCTCCAGAAAGCATGGGAAAACGTGGGAGTTGCTGGGATTTGTGTGCACTGATTTGTGTGCCCCTGGACCCCTTCAGATCTGGAGGCCCCGGCACGCCGCGCGCGGCGCCGCGACCGGCCAGGCGGCGCGGGTGTGGCCTCTGCAGCCGCCGCCGCGGCGTGGGAGGCCGTGGCCGCGTTGCCCCTCGTCAGGCCCCGCTTCCCGTGGGCGGGGCCTCTGCAGGGCGTCGCGTCGATGCCTCCGATCCCGATCCGATTCGATGCCGGTGGTTCCCGATCCCGAGGCCCATTCGTCAAGCAGTGGCGAAGCGGCCCAGCTCGCCCATAGCCCCACCAAACAGTGTCCTAAGAACCTTTTGTGGTTCCCACGAAGTGTTCTTAGAACATTTCTGGCGCAGTCTGTCTTGTTTTGCCACATCGGGCTCATGCTCCAAGAAAGCATTGCTTTCGCTCTTGGAACACATTTTGGGGTTCTAAGAGCCTTTCGCGGCAGGACCATAGGAGTGCCGGGGCGGTCGGTCCCTGCTCAAAGATGCGACTTCGGATTCCGGGTCGGGTGCCGGCTCGGTTGCCCGCCGATTGGGTCCGGTGCCGCGGTCCCGAGGGGGCGGAGCGGCGGAGCGGGCGGGCCGCGGGCCTCGCGCGGAGCGGCCCGGGGCCGCGGGCCCGCAGCGCCAGGGCAAGTTCCGGGGCCCAGGCCGCCAGGGCGTCGTCGGTGGCCGCCCTGGGGCCCAGACGTCGCTTCGACTTCCCCACGGAGGCCCACAGTCAGCGCGCACAGTAAGGACAAGCGACCTTTTCAAAGGGGGCCCTTGGGTCCTTGCCTGCCTCAGCCTCTGCGGCCCGTCCCTGGCGATTTTCGCAGGCCAGTTTCTCAGGTTCCCTGGGGGTTTGGCCGCCTGCCGCCCAGAATACTTCAACTTCTGCCTCCAAGGGTCTTGCGTCCTTACCACGCGTCCTTACTATACGGTTTCACTGTACTGGCCTGCCGATCTCCCGCCGATTCGACTTCTCCCGATTCGGCTGCCGATTTCCGCCGGTCCGATCCATTTCGATCGTCGAGCCGTGGGCGGGGCCCTTGTCGGGCAGGCATCGAACGAGCGTACCGTCGGGGCGCTGAAGATGGAAGCCTTTGCGTTGGGGAGGGGCGCCGTGTTGCCTGCGGTTTTCCTTAGGTGTTCGATGGGGATCGAAGTGACAAACCTATGGAAACAGTGGCCTCGGAGTTCCTTATTTAGGGTTCCTTAGGTCAACGCCCCGACTGTAAGTCTGTTCCAGAACGTTCCTGAAGGCCGAGAAGGCCGCGGCGCCCGATGCATCCTCCAGAGCCGCCGGATCTCAGAGATGTTCGATCTATCTTCACCCGATTTCGTCCTCGTCCTGGCTTCGTCTCACTCGCCGCAGGAGACTCCCTCGCGCTCGGCCATCGAAATCCCGCCGTGTGGGGGGGGGATCGGCGGCGAGTCCAGGGGGGAGTGCAGAGGGGGCGGGCCAATTTTCAGATTGCTCGGAAACGCCTCGGGCCTTTTTGGGGAAGTGTTCTGAGCCTTCTCCGAGCTTCTGAGAAGCCGGGTCTCTTCTGAGTTCGATGTACTTGCAGAAAGACCCCCTATCCCTCATGTTTGTGGCCCTCCTAACCTAGGTCCCCTCCCGAAGGGTTACGGGTCCTATCATTGTGATCATTCCGCTCCCCCTCTCCTCCATTCCCTCCCTCTGTCTCTGTTCTCGCCTTTCCCCTCTCCCTCCCCTCGCTGCCTCGAGTCCTCTTCCTCCTCACCTGCTTCCAGCTCTTCGTCACCGTTCCCCGCCTCATTCCCTTCCCTCTTTTCTTCCTCCTCCTCATACGTGCTCGGCCGGCTCCACCCCCGCTCCACCTTCCACGTGCTCGGCCTTTCCTCTCTTCTTCCTCCTCCACCTTCTCAACCCCTGGTGGTCACGTGCTGCGGCCGCCCCCACCCACTAACGACGGCAGTCCTCCACGCTCTCGCGACCAAGCAATCACGGAGGTGTGGCTGTTCCGACAGGGAGTGGGGCGGTGCTGGCGCCTCTCCTACCGCAGTCGCCACCGAGCTCTGGCGCCGGATCGTAAGGCAGGGCCAGGCCTCTTGGCCAGACCGCGACACCGACGCCACCTCGGCGCCCGGACGGCTACCCGCCACCGCAGCTCATCCGCCCCCGCCTCATCCCCCCACACTCGGGCCGGACGAAAGGGGGGGATTGGGAAAGGGGGGGTTGAGAAATTTGCTGCATGCAGCTGGTTTCGGCCTCACCGAGGGGCCCATTCCTCGATACGTAGCCCCATCCGGCGCCGGGAGGCGCCGGGAAAATCAGCTACGTGAGCTGATTCTCAACCCCCCCCTTTGTTATCCCCCCCTTTCGCCCGACCCGACACACGCGCGCCTGACTAGCGGGCCCTGGTGGCTCCCACCCCGCGGTCGTGCCTCTCCCGCGTGCCTGATGCTTGCTTGCCTGCCGCCCTCCCCCTCCCCTCCCCTTCCCCTCCCCTCCTCCTGCTCCTCCTCCTCCCTCCTCCGCCTTCCTCCTCCTCTCCCTCCTCTTCTTCTCCTGGGTCCAGAGGTCATAGGCGCGAGCATGGGTCAGCTCAAACCAGGCAGTGTGTTCTGTCGAAAAACAGAAAGGGGAGAGGGGTCCGAAAGAGCTTGTTGCATTGTTTCTGCGGCGTTGCTCATGATCGTGCGCGCTTGCGCCCAGGGCAAGTCTTCGTGCTATGCCGAGAAAAGGTGGCCGAGCGCGTCCTGGCGCAGGGTGCCATCGCACTCAGAACATATAGACGCGGACCCCGCCACATGCCGCGCGCGCAGCCTTCGCGCCGACGCAGCCCCTAGAAGGCTGACCCCCTTCCTCCGTGCGCCCGCCCCCTCGCTCTCCTGTCGGGACCTCGCCAAGGGGGGCGGTCGGGGGTGGACAGACCTCTTACCCGGACACGTCGCTTCAGGAATTGGCCGTTTTCGGTTCGCGAGAGGGCGTCGCGGCCGTCATTTTTGCGGGTTCAGGCCCGTCGGTTTCGGTCCCAGGCTGTTTTCACGAAGGGGAGGTTTGCTAAAGGGAGGTTTGTCCACCGCCGAGGCGGGGCCAAAGGGGGGGAGTTCGGTCTGGTGGCGCATCGACCCGCAGAAAAACGATGCAAAAGGAGCTCTCCGGCGGCCGGAACCCAAGTCGACAATCGGGGCGCGCGGGGGGCATGGTTTGTCGGAAATTCGATGCACCAGCGGATCGAATTCCCCCCCCCTCAGGGTTCCCCCCCCCCTTTGGTGGGCCCTGATCTCCTTCTTCGCCGGCCCATCTTACCGCGGGCCGTGATCCGCGCCGAGCCCTGAACAGTGAAGCGCTTATCGTGCACTTTTATTGTCTCCGGGGCCGCAGTTCGTGCCATGCTCTCGGCCACGGGCAAAGGGGGGGATAGAGGGGGGGAGGCTACTTAGAAGTCGGCTAAGGGATCGACTACAACATTGATTTATTTCAGAATTGATTTTTCGTCGAATCTACGACAATTTCGTGGGATGCCTGGGATGATGAATTAGGTGGGATGATTTACGAGCATCCTACGTGTTTGTCCATACATTCGACAATTTTGTGGTACACCAATTCTGTAGTCGATCCCCTATGCGAAGAGGGGGGGCTGCTTCTTAGAAGGCGCGTCCCGTGTCAGTAGATGTAAGTCCGGCGCCTTCTTCTAAGATCGGGGGCGGAAAAGAGGGGGGTGATGACTAGGGGGGGGGATTTCATGGCGCGGGCCATGATTTTTCCTCAGATTTCATGGCGCCTCTTCTTATTTCATTACGGCCCTGGCCCCCCCACTGGGCCGCGCACATGCCGCCGGTCATGATTTGCACCCCCCCCTCTTGGACACCCCCCTCTTTGCCGCTCCCGATAAGAAGCAGCCCACTTCTAAGAAGTTTTCCCCTTCCCCCTACCCCCTTTCGCGCGCCGCCAATTATCGTTGCGTGTTGCCGCTCTTGGAGGGCGCCGCGTTGCGTCCAGGAGTGGCGTTATCATTGGTTTACCGTTCTGTTTCACAGCCTCTGAGCGCTACGTGCGTCCCCACTCCGTCCCCCGCTTCCTCTTCCGCCTCTTCCTCCAGGCAGCGCAGCGTCGTCGCCTTCCACGCGCCCGCCCTTGAAGGCGGCCAGGCGCGGCCAGCCGATGTGTTGTGCGTTCCCCTTCGGTCTGTGCCAGGAGCTGTGGCTCGCAGGCCAGACGGGGTACATACGCCAAGCGAGCTTGAGGTTCGACGGCGCCAACTCCGAAGGATTGGTGTCACGGCGCCGTGGGGCGCCCACTTTGCCTGTTTGGCCGAGGTTCCCCCCGAGCCGCCAGCTGCGCTGTCTCCCCTGCAGGCGTCTTGCAGCTAGCGGGTCGCTGTGCGCGCCCACCAGCAGCATCTATAGTGCATTCGGTGCCTGTTGGTTCTCCTCTCTGCCTGGTGGCCTCGCGGGCCTTTCGCCCTCCTACCCCTGGTTCGCGCAGTTGCTCTCCTGCTCCTGGTGGTGGCACGCCCTGCTCGAGCCCGCGACCGCCACGGTGACGCGTCAGTGGCGTGTCCTCTCTCCACGGAGAGCTTGTCTTCGTCATCAGTGAGCGCTTCGCGCACGGACTCCACCTCCTCCTCCTCCTCCTCCTCATCGTTATTATTATCCTCTTATGCCTCTTCCTCTGCCTAGTGGCTGCGGCTGGCGCACAAGACACTTTTGGCACAACCGCTGACGCCACCTCCCAGGATGCTACTGACAATGTCCGCCAGGGGCTACTGACAAACCCCGCCTGGGTCCATAGACACCCCCCCACTGACACTGACAAATGACACACTGACATTGACGCACTGGCACTGACACACTGACACTATGACGCTCGCATTGACACTGAAACTAACAGTCAGTGGGTCTCAGAAGCGGCGGGATAGCAGGGTGTAGTGAGTAAGAGGGTGGCACGAGGGCCACTGACAAGCCCACTGACACGCCAACTGACATGTCCACTGACATGCAGCTGACAAGCCACTGACATGTCAGTGGCATGTCAGTGGGCATGTCGGTGGGCATGTCAGTGGGCTTCTCAGTGGGTTTGTTGGCCCTATTAGGCGTCCTCCTGGGGGCATTTCCGCAGCCCTATCGGGAGCCTTCTGGGCTTGATTGTAGCCCTCTACGGCTGCCTTGGCCCATCTTGGGGCCCCCTTG